GGGCTTAGGGAGTGCTGCCGTAGGCTTCCCTCCTTGTCGCTGTTACACCCACACGTTCTCTGGATCACTGCCTGTGTTTTCTAATACTTAGAAAAGCTTCTCATAAGCTACTGAGACTGCTGCCTCTTGGCAGAAACCAATTCTATCTACATGGTGACAGATTTAAACAGATGTCTAATTTAGGTAAATAATACAATCAACCGCTGTAACTAGGAATAGATTAGAATAAATTAGGAAAGGGTAAAATGTATTTAGAATTTAGCTTCCCTTAATATTAGAATTGGGAAAGATCAAATGCATATGCTTTCCATTTATGGTCTTGTTTTTCCAAGAACAAAATCTTGCATTACGTTAATGTTGATTGTGTCTCAAAATAAGTCGGACAGAGATCTGTCTGATGTGGTAACTTCTAAAATGTTGAGAGCTGTTTGTATTATAATTCATATTAGAATGGGGGGAGGGGTTATTAATTTGTTTTCACGGAATTTATACACTTACATTTTTTTCTTCAAGTGCTGTGAATTTATCTCTCGTTTCAAGAATGAAACAACTTTTCTGTAAAATGATGCATAAATGTATGCACTTGCAGGTGCAACGCAAGCAAGCATCAGAGTCATAGAATTGCTGAGCCTGGAGGAGAGCTCAAAGCAGGATCAGCAAGGGCCGTTTGCTCAGGGCCAGGTTTGGGTGGGTTCTGAGCATGCCTCTCTGGGTAACCTGCTCCAGTGCTCAGTCACTCTCACAGTTAAAAAAATATTAGGTTTTCTTCTTATATTTAACTTAATTTTCTGCTGCGTGCCCATTGCCTCTGGCTGTGTCACTGGGCACTGCTGAGAAGCCTGACTGTCTGTCTTACTCCCTCCTGTCAGGTATTTATACACAGTGATGGGATCCTCCTAAGCCGTCTCTCAAGGCTGGATAATCTGAGCTCTCTCAGCCTGGTCTCATATGACAGATGGACCCATCCCTTAACCATCCCATTAAGCTAGAATAATGCTGTATTATTATAGTGTATACTGCTCATATAATTTTCTGTTGCTGCTTGCAGCAGAGCTATTTGCCATGAAGCTGTGTTTCCAGGTCTCTGTTCTGCAATGTACTTCTCTGGGTAAGGAGATTCAGGGTGAATTTACATCTGTTGGGCAGCTTTCCCAAGTATAAGCTTAGTATCAGACAGAAATAAATACAATAAATTCTGAATCATGAAAAAAACATAAGCTTGTTAAGGTGTTATAACTCCTGAGCACCTGTGCTATAAGGGTCATGTTGTGGTTTGATTTCATGTTTCCAAACACTGCAGATATATGTTTCCAATGTATCATTTATTTTAAAAATATGTAGGGGAGAAAAAAAATGATTAAAATATATTCACCTATGAGGTTTCTGTGTACATCATAAAGAAAAAAACATTATGAGTCCATACTATAAGAAAAAAAGCTTTTGCAGTTCACCTGTAATATAACCAACAGCATTTGATTTAAAATGTTGATTTATGGCACACCTAATACAAGACGAGATCCAACAACCTGTTGGAGTTCACCCTTAGCTTTTATTAACTTCATTTAGTGGTAGTCTGGATAGTACTGTACAGTTTTTAATCTACATTAAGTTATAGCATATCATCATTTTATTACCAAAGGGAATGATTCAGCCTTGCCACCATTTGCAGGATTTGATTTCCCAAGCAATGATAGAGTTTATTACATTGCTAAAATTAATTATATCTGCCCTGATAATACACACTTTGGGCTCAGTATGTGAACCACCATTTCCAAAACAAAGGAATTTATGTCTAGAATCAGGTATCATAAAGGAACAGCTGTAACAAATAAAGCACAGTTCTGTTATGAATCTAAGTAGTTCCTTCTGCTATAACTTTTTGAGTGCTTTATTTATGTGAAAAATGACCTAGTGTGCTTGAGTTTTAAGTAAATTCAAGTATGACTTTATTATTCATGAACTGTATTAACAATCAGAATTTTTTTCAGTCTAAAATCTTAGATTCTTATATTACACATTTGGAAGAGAAAGCTGAAAATTATTTGGAAATAAAAATGCAGTTATGTGATCTGTAGCCTGGACTGTGGGATGCAGGTTTTACTGGAGATGGTGCTGTCTGGTTAAACAAGGCATAACACGGTAAACTGGATTCCCACGGGTTTAGGCTGAGGTCCCACCTGTACCCGAGTTAGTCTAACAGCTTGCTCTTGCCAAAGGAGGAGGATTTGGCTCCCCACTGCCTGTCCTTAGTCATGTGAGGGTTTTTTCCCTCCCTTCTGCCAGGTGTGGCCATCACTAGATGCTTCCAAGAATAAGTTAAATTCCCTAATTTAAGATAAAACTCTCCAGTTGGGAGCTGGTTTTCTGTCAGTTTATTGCATTTGATGCTTTCAAAACTGATTCCATGATTGCTAGACCTTGTTCAAGATGAGGGTTGGAAGGGCGTGCCAGGGAGTAGCTGGGAGATGGAGGGAGAGAATAGGAATGGAATAGGGTCTGTCCCTCTAATGATATGAGATGGTCGATTGCTTCACCCTCCCTTCACATTTTCTTAGGCTTTGGGGGGTGCGAGGTCCCCTTTACTTGTCAGGGATGCTGTGTTCTGTGCAAACAGTGCATATATGTACAAATGTATATACAATGTATGCTATAGAGAAAAAGGAAGCTCCTCACTGAGGAGTGATGCGGAGTAAGACTATACACAAGCAAGTCTACAGCCTTTATTGTTGTAAAGGAGATACCCAAAATATGAATCAAACATTTTCAGACAGGAATGTCTGTAGAGAACTGAGACAAAGGTCTCAGAAGTGTGAATTGCCTCTTTAAGAATCGTTAACACACATTCCTATTTAAGTGGTTACTTAAATAGTGAACTTTTAATTGTTTATTGGAGCATCTAGGAAAGGTATGAATGAGTTGGTGTGTTGGTGTGAGCAGGATGCGGGGCTGGGCAAAGCTGCCACAACCATTTAGAGAAGAGCATTGTGGGTTAAGTAGCCTGTTGGTCTAGTAAACACTTCTAGGAAGTAAATTGTAATTGAAGGGAAGAACAAAAGGAGCAGTTTGATATTGGGTGACTTAAAACTTTCTAGGAGGAACAGAGAAGATGATAGTAAATAAAAGGTGTCATTGGGAAGATACAGAAAGGAATAACTGGGCTGGGGATATCAACCATTGAGGTAACCCTCCAAGAAACTAGAAAACTTGTGAGAGATGACCAGAACAAGAAACTGAACATTTCAGACCCATGAGTATACTGAATCTCAGTTCAAAGAAGTGGAATTAGCCTCACCCTCTGCAGCATGCTGTTTCCAGGTTCCCAAGGCTCCCAGGACTTCCAGCTTACTGGCTGCATTTGTGAGTTATTCCTAACCAGGACTACACACCACTTCTTAGTTTTTCATGGTTGTATGGGTATCCCATAAGGCTTGTTTGATAGAGTACTTGGTCTTTATCTTGAC